TAATATATATAGAAATGAAGTAATGATTAATACTTTATAGGGACAATTACACTTTGCAAATTAATCCGTTCTCGGGAGTATGTAATGAAGAACATTTAAATTACTTCAAATTTATTGGTCGCATAGCGGGCATGGCTGTTTACCACGGAAAACTGTTAGACGGTAAGAAGTATTTTAATTATATCGAGAGTATTAAACATTTCTTAAAGAGATGGTGTGTGTGTAAATAAAATTGTAATTTCTTTTCAGCATTTTTCATTCGACCCTTTTATAAAATGATGTTGGCTAAACCTATTGATTTAAAAGATATGGAGAGCGTTGATTCCGAATATTATAATTCGTTATTATGGATCAAGGAGAACGATCCCAGTGAATTGGAACTTACATTTTCTGTCGATGAAGAAAGTTTTGGACATACATCTCAAAGAGAGTTGAAACCGGATGGTGCTAATGTACCATTAACAAATGAAAATAAGGATGAATATATCGCTTTAGTTATACAATGGCGTTTTGTCTCAAGAGTTCAAGAACAAATGAATGCATTTTTGGAAGGTTTTAATGCTCTTATACCACCAACGTTGGTAAAGATATTTGACGAACACGAATTAGAATTGTTGATGTGTGGTATTCAACATATTGATGTACGAGACTGGAAACAGAATACATTGTACAAAGGAGACTATCATGCTAATCACATCGTTGTTCAGTGGTTTTGGCGAGTAGTGCTTTCATTTAGTAACGAGATGAGATCCAGACTTTTACAGTTTGTAACTGGTACATCAAGAGTACCGATGAATGGTTTTAAAGAACTTTATGGTAGCAACGGACCGCAATTGTTTACGATTGAAAAATGGGGTACTCCAGAAAATTATCCAAGAGCTCATACTTGGTAAGTGTGTAATTTTAAGTCAACGTGAAACGTTTAGATTTGAAATATTTAAAACACAATAATTAAATTGAGATATTTATAATTTGAAAATTCTATCCCGATTTCAGTTTTAATCGTATTGATTTACCACCTTACGAAAGTTATCAACAACTCAGGGAAAAATTGGTAAAAGCGATTGAAGGTTCTCAAGGTTTTGCTGGAGTGGATTAGCACGAAATACCCCTTTTCATGATGATATCTGTAATATAATGTACATATATACAAACATATGCATACATACCAATGTATACTGTCTAATATGATTAACTATTTAACAGGATATACATTTTTCTGCACTCTGAAGACTTAGATATCTTTTGACTGCTCGTTACGACATTGAGACAAATCGGTGAAAAGTACGTTTA